AAGTTCATAGGTACAAAAAGCAAAAGTAATTTGCAAAGTATGGATTATATATTTCCTTCGCACGGAAAGAAACAGCTAGAAATGAGTGAAGAGAAGAGAATGAAAAGATGTAGAAAGAACTTTCTACAATTGTTCTAGAAAACAACAATGCTTCTCTCAAATCCGGTATTGCAATAAAAACTCAGCTTAGATTCGTCATGGAGTCTAAGCCTTACCTTCATTTGCTTAGTCAGAGCCTTCAGCTGCCTCTCTGTATCTTGTTTTTGTTCTTCCAGTTTCATTGCTTTACCTAGGAACAACAAGAAAGGGAAGAGACTATTAAACACATAAGGGCAAGGGTGAAAACTGAAAATGGGAGGACAGAGCGGTTTATTACATTTTGCTTATGGTAATGCCACTGAACAGACTAAACTGAAATTAAGATACTCTGTCAATGAATCAGGAATGGAACCAACAATAGACTTGTTACTTGAACATCTCTGAAATAGGTCATTATTTTGAGGCATTAAACCAGACACTTAAGTTTACAGAATCACATTGCAGGATCCCTTAGTACACACCCCTGAGGCACCCCGGATAACACTGGTAGGTGAAATGTGTCCCTCATCCCACCAGGTGGCAGCTCCCCTTCCACACTGCAACAGCAACCTCCACAGCTCTTAGCAGTGCTAAAAGCTCTTTAAAAGGCCAGTAATTCCAGTTTCTAGCATAGGCAATACATTCTTTGCTGAAGAATGAGTCTTGGAGACTGTCTCTAATATTATTTCTATAGCACTAACTGTAAAAATAGTGACTTTTGTGCATGAACAGAAAGGAATGGCCCAAATGGGAATATTTCTAAAGCGAGGCTCTTGTCACAAGTATCAAGACACACCTCCTCCTCCTCCTCCCTGTTGCAGTCATAACTGAATCCCCTGAATAAGTTCACTTAAATCCTTTTTTTCAGCTCCACCTACTTTCCAGGTCACTGATGAGTTGGTTATTGTGAAGTTTTATAGCACGATGTTGTTCCACCTGGTCCTCCAACTCAAAAATGGTCTCCTTCAAGTTTTTTATATCTGCTTCATTCTCTGATGTTTTTTCCTGCAGCTTCTGGCTGGTTCTGCTCAGTTGCTCGGCCTGCCGGTCACATATCTCCTTCAGCTGACCACACTCACTCTCAGCCTGGAAGGGAGGAAAGCAAGCTGCAAGTCTGTATTTATTTTTTAAGAGATACCACCCATTAGAGATCTTACCGGGCATCTCATGGACTTAAGAACTGAACCTGTGTTCTAAGCATTGTATAAACTGAGTTTCCACATGAATGAGACAATTTCAGGAAACAAAGATAAGCTATGAATGTCAAGTTTTCTTTCCTGGTAATAAAGATAATAGAACAAGATGCTACAAAGGAAATTAAAATTTTCTATATGACGATGGTAATTCCAAACCAATCTCTGCAGGTAATGAACAGAGAGGAATTACATCCCTGGAAAGCTCCACATCTTTTTAATGTATCACCTTCTGAGAGTGATATCACTGCCTTAGGGCCAAGATGACGATCAGTTTGTGCACACTAACAATTTTGCTGCTTTTATCATCTGTGTTTTCAATGGATTGTGAAAACATACATAGTAGAGCTAGCTTACTGCAGATAAGTATATTTCTGGATATAGGACATCTGGAATTACTGAAGGGGGAATCTGCTGCACTTCAGTTTGTTGGCTCAGGCCCACAGATCAATGCTTCCAGGTTTGGGCGGGGGGAAGATCTCTGAGTATGAACAAGTTATGGAAAAGCAAGGTGTAGGCTGCCAATTCAGTGAGCAGCACTGGCACAGCCTGACTGAAGGCAGCCTTACAGAAGCCTGTGGTCTTATTTGGGTGTCACAAATAGCCAATGATTCAAAACAGCTTAATTCGAGGGAAAGGAAGAGTAAAAAGGAGGAAATCTGTGGTTTCCAAACCAAGCCATAAAAGTTTGGTACGGACTCTGAGCACTCAGCAGTTTTTCATTTATTCTTCATAAGCTGCAGCTCCAGTAAGCACTTGGGAGCTTCCTCTACTAAGTCCATTTGCTGTGGTCACCTATTTAAGCTGAAAGGACCTCTGGATTTTCTAAATCACCCAAATCATGGAGGTGCTTTTTGGCAATGCTCTCTTCCTCTGCAGCTAGCCAATTTTACCGTTCTCATGATCCCTTTCCCATACAGGAAAGGCTGCATACACTGACTGTCACTCTTTCTGCAGCGGTGGGACATAATCACTGGCTCGTGCTTTATTAACACTGGTTTTATGATGCCTCACATTGCAGCTTTCTTCTGAACATCCAGGATCACACAGAAAATAGAAACAGTAACTGACTTAAGCTTGCTTGGAGCAAAGCTACAACCAACCAAAGGAGGCAGAGAAAAATTGTTCTAAAATAATTTTTTTTTTGTCATTACCTATCCCAAAACAGAATAGTTCTCAGATTTGTAAAAATATTTTAGTTTTATGAAAATAATTTCATCTGGAGCTTGACTGTGCATCACTAGTCATATTGCTGTAAATATCAGCTTCTCTGAGCATTAGCTCATGTCCTTGTGTTCTCATGACGAATGACACCTATAGTTCACTACTAATTAATCATTATTAACTATTCAGAATTTAATATTTGTTAACTACTCATGCCCTTCTCTCCATCTGGATTACCAAGTGATTTTCACTATATTTGTTCACATAATATCAAAGTAATTTTTTTATTGACCAGTTCTTTGCTCCAGTTTTGATAAACACAATTTCTATTTACTAACAATCAATGGCTCAGTAACAATCTAAAGCCCAACAATTACCTATTTATGGAAGGGCAGATAAACAACCATTATATTTTACAGCTGTTACTGCTTTACCTTAGATAGCAGACCCTGAATGTGCTTCAGTTCACTGTTTGCCTTCAGCAGCTCTTGTTTAAGCTCGGTGCAAGATGCTTCTAACTGATCCTTTTCTGCATGGGCTACTTTCAGCATCTCTTGCACCTCAGAGTTGTCAGTAGTACATCCCATCGCATTGATTTCTGCAGCCTTTTGTTTCTCACTCTCTAACTGAGTTTTGAGAGAGCCATTCTCAATTTTTAGACCTTCCAAGGCAATTTTACAGTCCTCCAGAGTTTTTGTCACTGTGCTGCTGTTCTGCTGTTCTGCTTCTAGAAGTTTAAGCAGTTTCTCATTTTCTTCTCTCAGGCTTTTAATCACCTGCTGGGCATCCTGATGCTCCCTTTCTAAGCTTCGTAGGCTGCTGGTTAACTGTTGCTGAATGTTGAGCAATTTCTCTCTTTCAAATTGTGCTTTTTCAAGAACTTCTGCACATTTCTGTTCCAGTTCAAGGACCTTCCCCTCCTGAGCTCTACTTTCTTCATTCTTGGATCGCTCTTGGAGGAGAGTCATTAGCTTCTCGTTTTCTTGGCTCAGCTGTTCTGCTCTATCTCTATGCTGACGAAAGGAAGTCTCCAGGAGAGCTTTCTCTTCCACCAGCTTCTCATTTTCTGTTGTCAGCTCCTGCACCATTTGCTGTTGATCCGACAGCTCCTGCAAAGTGGCTTGTAATTCTTCTGCTGTGCTGTGGTGGTTCTCCTCCATTTTTTGTATTCTCTCTGTAAGAGATGCAACAGAAAGGTCACTAATATTGTTTGGAGAACTTCCTGTAGTGGAGCATTTGGAACCCTTGAAGTGATTGCTGTTGGAGGATGTTGGCCTGGAAGGTACATCTGCTATATGTTCAAAATCTGATGCATCGGGTGACAAGGAAGCTTTAGTCACATCACTGCTGGAAGAACCTGAATTGCGCAGCGCACCCCCGTTCACATGCTGCCTGTGCTCATCCATTTCACCTCTTGACACATTTTTTGATGGGCTTCCAAAACTGGATTCTTGGGTAGTTGGGGTTGGGAGGCTGCTGTCACCTCCACTGCTTGTTGTTGTGTCTGAGAGGGGAGAGTTTTCTAGATAAAGTAACTTCTCTTTCAAAACACGATTTTCCTCTCCCAGGCTAGCAAGCTCTTTTTGAAAAGTCCTGTTTTTTTCCTGAAGGGTCCGTATTAATGGATCTATGTCAACAGGTGATACTGATTCTAAATTTTGGTTGGAAGTGCCCATTCCTTCAGCGTTAAGTGATCCTTTCTCTTTGCATTTCTTCAATTCACAACGGAGTTTGGTAATTTCAGAATCTTTCGTCTTTGCTTCTGCCAAGAGTTCTTTAACCTGAGATTCCAGAACAGCCTTGTCACCAGTTTCATTTTCTTGCTTGGACTTGCTAGTGGGACGCACGTGTTTGGTAGGAGTCGGTGTACCAGAAGAGGTGGGGCTGGGTTGCGTCTTCCTAGTATTGGCTTGACCACGCAATACAGCTCTCTCTCTGGATACAGATGATGATATTTCCCGGGGTGCTGGAATCCCTGTGCGCTTTGCAGCTGTTCCTTAAAGCAAAAGAGATGAGGCAAACCAAGTTAGTTCATAAAGCAAATAAGTCACACAACAACAACGCTAGAGCCTAGAGCAGTCTTGGAAAAAACACCTGAGTGTTTGAATAGGTTTAGTCATGACTGAGTGTGTGGATTCATGTTTCACAAAGGCTTGCATTATTTTGCATTTCTTCCTCTCCTACCCCCTGCAAAGGAACGCAGTCTGCTGAACTTTTCCCCAGTGTAACAATATAGTATGTAGATGTTGCAATACATGAACTGCAACCCCCAATACCAGGATATTACTTATTTGAAAATAATAATACAAAAAGTCTTTACACTACTTTGTGAAATGCTGAACTTAAATCTATTAATTTCTGGGGAAAAGTTCAGTAACTTAAAAAAGATACCATCTTTGAAGAAAATGTGTTTTTATCACACGAGTATTTTATCACACATGAAACTAATGTATTTGCATTATGCTCCATTTATGCAGATCATCATACAAAAAGATCTGAGACACTTATGCTGACTGCAAGTTCAGTGAAATACAAAACTATCTCTTGATACCTCTAACACTAAGACTATTGCTGCAGCTTCTCACAGAGATAGACAAGAGATTTTTCATATTACAAATTTCCATCCTCTTTTGAAAGAAGAGCAAAAGGAAGTTAGAAAGTTAATATTATTCTGTTTCATTTTGGTGGGTTTTTTTGATTTTGTTTTTTATTATTTTCCAACCAATTTAAGGGCAAGGCATTATGTGACTACAAGGGAAATAAAGTTTCTAAGTTGCTGATCTTCATCTTTCAAAGCTCTCTTTTGGAATATGGGACTATGGGTACTGAAGAAACAGAGCCATCCTAACCATAAATGTATTAACAAGCTGGTTTAAAAAAAGCATCTGGTTCAAAAGGGAGTTATTATATGCCACTACAAGTGGCAACACTATGAATTTAAGAAATTCCTGTTTCCAGGACCTTAGTCAGAAGGAAAAGCGCTACAAAGCCATAAAGTTTTGCATTATGGTACAATGAAGCAGTATTGTCTGATGCAGCCAGATAAACAGGATGCATGGGCCAGTTATGCAAACACTAAGGGCTAGTGAGCCAGTGTTTGCACTAATAACAAGTTCTAGAAGGATTCTGGGAGGACTCCTAGAATCAATTACACCTCCCCACGTTTAGGAGGCTCTCTTTGCCAATGCCCATGTGCAGCATTCACAGAAAAATCAAAGGGCAGTTAAGACCAAAGCAGGAGCAGACTCCCTGCCTTATACAGCAAGCAACGTCAGAACCCTCCCACAGCATTTTTCACACCGAGGAAATCTGGGTGCAGTGATGCACTGTCAGTAACGCAGGGCACTGAAGGGTTAATATTAACACCATCCAGTTTGCTCAGCATCTCTTTTGAAGAATGCACTAGGGTTTATAAACCCCACACAAACAGGAGCCCCTCCTCCTCTCTCCCAAACAAACACACTCTGCAGCAGGCACAATAAACACCCAGAGACAAAGAGCAGCTGAAGAAAAGACCCCTGAACACAGAGGCGCTGTGCTGGGAGGAGAGCACAGAAAGAGCTCTGTGATGGCAGGGGCACGATAAGGCCAGAGACAAAGGCTCCAGTGTTTATGGAAGAGATAGCAGGGACAGTCTGGCCGGACAGCCAGCAGCCCACACAGCTTCATTTAGTCATCTACAGCTGGAGGCGCCAACATATCGAGGCAGCTCCAGTGAAAAGTGCAGCGCAAGCGGAGATGGGAGCTTTTCCACTGCAACTCCAATGGCTGCTGCTGCAACTCCAGACCTGAGAGCTCATTTCGCTTGTCAGAGCTGAAGGCCCCCAGCTCACTGCTCATCTCATTTCTTAACCTGGGGGCTCCCAGCTGCCAAGATCTGGCACCTGTAAACTGCATTCAAACTGAGCTCAGCAAATGAGCAAAGCTTTTAGCGTCAATGCAGCTAACACCGTAAGATGAAGAACAAGAGGAAAACTGAATGGACGGTGATGTGATGCGTCGCTTCCAGCAGAGAAATACCAGCTCAGCACAGCTCCTTCTTGCTCGCAGGCAAAGGTTCACACGAGGTGAAGCCCAGGTGTCCAGGCAAGAGAACACAAGGCCTTGTTTGAATGTGTCTCTTGAACGTACAGTTGGACAGGTGTCCAAAGTAGAGAAGCAGTCCTCACACAAACTATAATCACACTACAGATTTAAGATGTAAAATACACATTACAAATGGCCACAGATGTTCTCTGATGGAGCCTAAGGGGTGGATTTAAAGCTTTCTGTTATGTCTTGGACTTTTATTCAATCTGAAGGGGTTTTCTACTGTTATAATAAAATTTTATGACAAAGCAAGTGCCCCAAATAACTCTTCTTTTTTTTCTTTTTTTTCTTTTTGCAATGTCCAAACTAGCACAATGACATGACTGTCATCTGGTGAGCACGTGACTGGGTAGTACTATATAAGTAGCAGGTAGTGCTGACTGGACAGTATTATATACATTACAAGAAATAACGATGCTACTACACATTGGTACAAATTGCAAGGCACTGAGAAAAACCACCTTTTCCTAAGAGAAATGTAGCATTTCTGGTAGCAATACCAGTGTGCTTCTAATTGCCACCAGACAACAACTGCAACATGATCTGAGCAATGGAAGACATATACATAAGGATAACAATTAAGGATATTTAACTGGGATTATCTATACTTCACCAGCTTGCCAACCAATGCAGGCTCTGAGCTTACTCAACCTGTCCCATGTGTTTTGTAAGACTCCGTTCTCTGCTGACTTGTTCTGTCATAAATCACAAAGCATTTGCTATCCACCAATAACCATTAACCAAGCTGGTTTTTTTCATGACGCAGAAGTGTTTATGTATTTTTCTCTCTCTCCAAAACAGTGCCATGCAATACTAAAACATCATAGAGAGCCCAGAAAACAAATAGCTCTAAATGCATATGTAAGTTGATTACAAAGCACCAAAGCAAGAATAAGCACTACTTTAAAGTCAATTTTATGGGTGACTCCCCCTCTGAATGACCTTGAAATTGAGCAGTGTAGCACTTATAAATGGAACTGCCAGCCCCACAGCCCGAGGCACCCACTCTGCAGGGACTGCATTTAGGGCTGTACTAGTCACCCTCGTGACCTGATTAGCTCAGCACCCTACACTGGGTATGGTCTATGGGAGACTCCAGACAGACATGTGCCTGTCAAGCTGCAGAACCCAATCTAGGGTTGATGTATGCTGCTGCTTAAAGTAGCTGGAATCACACAGAACTTCACTTCCTAGAAAGTGCTGCTTGGTTTGAGCAGGGAAGAGAAAAAGCAATCAGCCCTGCACCTCTAAGGAGACATTCTGGAAAAAAAAAAAAAAAAAGAAACCATTAAATACCTTTCTGTTTGGTCAAAATGGCACTGTGGCACCTCATTCCTGTTTTCCCTGTTCATCCACCCTGCCCAACCTGTTAGCTTAACTATTCTTTTGCCAATTTTGAGCACAACCTCTTTCCCACTATCCCATGTATCCAAGCTCAGGCTACCTCTGACCAACAGCATATTCCTCATTCCCTTTACACCATACCTAACCTCCCATTCTCCCAGTCCCACACCCACTCAGCTTGCATTCCTCCACTTCAGAGGAACTGGGAATTACTCCTGAATTACTCCACTGAGAGTTATTGCCTGAAAACCTGTTTTGCTCAGACTGAGGTCACCTCGTTATGTTCCTCGCCTTGGCACCCAGTAAGAACTCCTCTATTTTCAGTATCAGCCATGCTATTCAGGTGTGAGGGATTAAACCTTAACATGTATATAGAGCTTATAATTTTTAAAGTGCTTTAAAATTAAGAGCTAGTTAACTCAAATCCCCTGAAACACATAATTGTTAACTCTAGATTACAGGACACAGAAGCAGAGAAAAATGAAATGCCTCACCCAAGGTCACAGTAAATCAGTAAGGATTAGGACCCTGGAGCTCCTGGCTGGCAGCCTGCTGTACAGCTTTGTTTGTGCCGCTTTCTGCCAGGGAATACTCGCTGACTTTCCACTGGTGTCAGAAACAAAGCAGGACTTTAATGAGATAAAAGTTGACCCCTCATGATGATCTTTAGCCATTTTAATCCCATTTTCAACACAGCTACAATGTTTTCCACAGAAGGAAGGATCAGGATTACTCTTAGTTTTTCCACATAATGATCTATTTTTGATCTGAGCTCTCAGCACCTGCCACATCAGCTCCCATAGAGGCATCCACAACCAGAAGGAAATGGACTATGGAATGGAGAAAACCATTTCCCAATCCCCCAAGGCGGAACACGTCAGACTGCATTCAGAAGTGAAGTCCATGCAGTACAGCTAATGTAATTACAGTCCTCGCAGGGTAAGGGTAAGTAGGTGCCAAGCATTTTACCACAATCACATGGGGACACGCACGACATTTTGGGATGAAGATTCAGTAAGTTTATCTGCCTCCACACTCCGTGTGCTCTGAGATAGCACATTATCACTGTCTTCCCAGTAAAGCACTAGTCCTGAAGTTCCATTTATTTTACTTGACTCTTAAGTATAATTAACAGTTCAAATACCTGCTTCTCCGATCTCTTCTAGAGCAGAGGAAGAATCCCAGTTGGAAAGTTACTTCATTTGACCACAGAATCACCTTTGGAAATGTTTTAATTTCTGCCTTCAATCTATTTTTTGGAACTGGAGTCAATACAAGATTATTTGCCTCTGGCCTTCGTACCATTTGTGTCCTACAACCTACCCTTTTCTTAATCCTTCCCTCCATCAACATATTAATAACCCAAAGGTTAATGCCCTGGGCTTCTGCTGTTCCAGGGATGGAATTAACGGGGAATGTTCCATTTTATACTTTCTTCCTAACTTTTAATCCTGTCATCTCTTAACCTAAGAACAATAAAAACACATTTTCTTCAACACGTTTAAAAATCCATGTTAGTAGTTCATTCTTCTATAGTTTAAGTAGGTACTAAGTCTCCTGCAT